CCTATGCTTTCTTCTCAGAGTTTTCTGTTTTGTTTTGAAACAGGTGTTGGTATGTATCCCAGGTTGGCCTTGAATTATGACCTTGCCTCAACCATCTTAGTAGTGGCATTACAGCTGTGTACCACCATGCCTGGCATAGTTTTAGCTCTTGTATTTGGATTCTTGATCTATTTTGGGTTAATTTTTGTATATAGTATGATTTTTGTATATAGTCCAATGTTTGCATGTAGGCATCTAGTTTTCACTCATTTGCATGTGGATATTCAGTTATTACATCATCATTATTGAAGAGATAATTCTTTCCTCATTGAATGAGATTGGCACTGTTGTTGAAAATCAAGTCACCATATACATAAAGTTTTCTTTCAGGACTATTAATTCTATTCCATTGATCTATATAATAGTCTTCCCCTTATTCCATGGTTTCATTTATTTAGTCAACTATGGTCCAAAGATATTATATGGAAAATTGTAGAAATAAAAAATTCATAAGATTTAAATTGCATGTTGTTCTGCCACTAACCTACATCCACACCCTGTAAGTCCACTGATAGCATCTTGGTTATCTTGTCAACTGTCACTGTATTGCAGTGCTGTGGTTAAGTAACCCTTATTTTACTTAATAATGATCTCAGCACACAAAAGTAGTAATGCTGACAATTTGAACATGCCAAAAAGAAGCCATAAATTGCTTCCTTTAACTGAAAAGATGAATGTTCTCAACTTAATTAGGAAAGAAAAAAATTGTCTACTGAGATTGCTAAGATCTATGGTAAGAAGAAATCCTTTATCCATGAAATTGCGAAGTGTTTGTGTTGTACCTCAAACTGCAGTTATAATGCAAGAGAAAAGCTTACTTAAGATGGAAAAGGCATTAAATTTGTGCATTTATGTATAGGAAAAGTACGTAATACATATGGGATTTAATAGTATCTGTGGTTTCAGGCATGCACTGAGGGTCGTAGGACATCCTTTATGGATAAGGGTGACTACCATATACTGATCTTTATGCTGTTACCACATAGTTTTGGTCACTGTAGCTTTGTAGTAAGTTTCGATGTCAGGAAATGTGAGTCTTCCAAATTTGTTCTTTGTTTTCAAGATTCTTTTAGTTATGTGGGCTCCTTGAAATTCTATATAAATTTGATCAGCTTTTCCATTTCTAGAATTTTGTTAGGCAGTGCAATGAATTTATAAATAACTTTGGATGTTATTGCCATCTTAATATACTATGTCTTCTAATCTAGGAATGTAATTTCTTCTCATTTATTTAGATCTTTATTTTTTATCAGCAATATTTTATAGCTTTCAGTGTATAAATCTTCACTTCTTTGGTTAAATTTATCCCTTAGATACTGTTATGCTTTGGATCTTAAGTGTTCCCCCAAAGCTCATTTGTTGAAAGCTTTGTCCTCAGATGATGGTGCTAGTGGGAAATGGTGGAAACTTTCTTTCTTTCTTTCTTTGGTGTGACTGAGATAGGTGAACCCAGGGCTTTGTGCTTGCAAAGCAGGCACTCTGCCACTTAGGCCACACCTGTAGTCCGTGGGAATTTTAGAAGGTAGGGCCTAATTGGAGGAAGTAGTTCATTCCAACTTAAGGGCTTGCCCTTGAAGAGTTTATTGGCTCCCCCCGCCCTCCCTTTCTGGCCACCATAACATGAGCAGCTTTGCTCTATGGTGCTCACTCCATTATGTTTGGTCACAGATCTAAGGGGACGAGGCCAAGTGACAATGGTCTGAAACCTCTGAAACCAGGAACCACAGTGAATCTTTCCTTCTTATAAGTTGATTATCTCAGGTATTTTGTCACAGAAACTGAAAGCTGACTGATACAGGTAGTTTGTTTCTTTGGATGCTATTGAACTGTGTGTGTGTGTAGGCTTTTGGATCAGTTATTTTTCTCTTTAATGTGTTATATTATTCTTTTGAAACACAGATTTGTCTCTATTCATATTCAAGCTTAGGGTATTTTCACATACGTATGAGTCTTAATTTTCAGTGCTGGGAACTGAACCCAGGGCTCTGAGCATGCTAGGCAAACACTCTACCACTGTGCTATTTCGCCATCCCTATGTGTAGGTTTTTGGAAAGCTGTTTTGAGGGGGTCATATTCAAGGTAGAAGACACCATATAAGCGAAGGCACAAAGATGTGAAATGCCTCTGTATTAAGGGATTCAATCCAGTTGGGAATAGTTAAACCACCCAGGTGGTATGGTAAGTACAAGGGGAAAGAGTAAGATAGGAGAAGTGAACTTGGGTCCTACTCACTATAAGAGGATTCTGGGCTCTCCTTGATGTCTAGTTATGTTCTCCACATCACTGAATGTAACAGCAAGCATTCACCCATATCAATGAATGCAAATAGTCCCCATAAGTCTGATTCAGGGCACAGATGGTCAGTTTTGATTTTTAAAAAAGAAGGTAAGACCTTCAGCAAAGAAGGTATATGGATGGCAAAGAAACATATGTTAAGATGTTGGACGTCATATGTCATTAGAGAGTTGCAAATTTAGACAATGAGATACCATTACACACATATTAGAATGGCCAAAATCCAAAATACTAACACCACCAAATGCTGATGAGGATGTAGAGAACAGGAATTCTTAATCATTGCTGGTCACACTGCAAAATGATACAGAATCTTTAGAAGACAGTTTGACAGTTTTTTACAAAGCTAAACAGTCTTATCATATGATACAGAAATTGTTCTCCTAAGTATTTAGCTAAATAAGATGAAAACTTACGTGCACACAAAAATCTGCACATAAATGTTTATGGTAGTTTAATTCATAATTGCTCCAAACTGAAAACAAACATGATGTCCTTCAAAAAAATGAATATATAAATAAACTGTATTATATTCGGACAATAGAATACCATTCATCAATAAAAATAAATGAATTATCAAGCCATGAAAAGACATGGAGGAACTTTCAATGTATGTTCCTTAGTGAAAGAAGCCAGTCTGAAATGTGTACATATTACATGATTCTAACTATATGGTATTCTGGAAAAGGCAAACTGTAGAAACAATAAAAAGATAAGACTCTTTTACTAGGAGGGAGGGACGAATAGGTGGAGATCAGGAATTTTTAGGGCAATAAACTATTCTGCATGAGACTGTAATGGTGGATACATGACATTCTACATTTGTCAAAACCATACAATGCTAAAAGTAAACTGTAATGTAAATTATAGATTTAGTTAATAATAACATGTCAAAACTAGTTCATCAATTGTAATACATGTGCCAAGTTATGGCAAGATAATAACTGGAGAATCTTTGGGGAAAGAGGGGCTAAGTGGGAACTTTACTGTCTTTCAATTTTCTGTAAATCTGCTGTACAAAAAAAGCTTCACACACTACTCTCAGGTCAAAAGATATCAAAGCTAAGACTATCAGACTATGTAAAGAATAACAGTAAAAGTTATAACAGTAAAAGTGCTGCATGTTACATTTGTTATAATTAAAGTGGAACTGAGAGGAAAGTTGCTATACATAAGTACACATAGCAACATAAGAAATATGAATATAAACAAATTAAGCATCAACAGTAGAAATTAGAAAGAGAACACTGTATAAGCCTAAGGAAACCAGAAGAAAAGAATTAAAGAAATTCAAAAACAGAAAGTAAATAATCAGAACATACAAAAATACCAGAAACATGAATGCAAGAACTTGTTCTCTGAAAAAACTAATAGCAAAATGGATAAACTGTATGGTAATAGAGGAAACTGATGGCTGAGGAATGGGTGGATGGGAGATTTATTTTAAAAATTAATTTACTTTAAATCTTTCAGACATACCAAAAGGTACAAACAATAATGTAAGGCACACCTGTGAAACCACTACTAAAGAATTTTAAACCTAAACCATTTGAAACCTTTTGTCCTCCATTACTATCCCTCCAACTCACTAACTTGAAATTTTTATTTTATCATTCCAATGCATTTCTTTATCATTTTACAATACATATGCTCCTATAATGTGTTTTGTTTTGTTTTTGGTGGCATGGGGCTTGAGCTTCCAACCTCCTACTTGGTCTGCAAGTGCTCTGCCACTTGAGTCCCACCCCAGCCCCCCTACTTAGCGTTTTTTGAACTATCTCAGCAAACTAAAATGGCTAGGGGTGGGGCTCAGTGGCACGCTTGTCTAGTATTTCCAAGGCTAGGTTTGATTCCCAACACGACAGAAAAACAAAACAAAATGTGTTATTTGTAGGTATTTATTTGAACACATGGGCAAGAATTTTCTCTGGGAGAGATATATGTAATTTTCCTTGCTATTTCCTAAGGGCTTGTGCGAATTTAGACTACCACGCCTGCTGTGTACACTTCCAGTTCTCTAATACTCCCCAGTACTTCACAGACTTAGTTTCACTGTCTCCTTTTCATACCATTCGTGAAGCTTCAGTTATACCATTCTTTGAATTTTATTTCAATTACTCATCACAATGCTCCTGTAGGTTAGATATTGTTATTTCTGATGATTTCCAAAAAACAAAAACAAAAACAAAAACCTTAAAAGCTTTGTCTGTAATTTGGGTAGAGGAAGTGACTCCTGATAGGGAGTACAAAACCATCTTAAGCTATTCTCACATTTCACAGATAAGAAATCCGTCTTACTTCCTGAGGCAACAGTTTCTTCTTTTTAAAACAATGTCTTCCTTTTTACATTCATTCAGTGCATCTATTGCTTTTTTGGAGGGTCATGCATCCTGAGTTGGCAGCGCTCCTTCCCCTCCTCACTTCCAAAGCCTGCTACAAGCACTGCCTCCCCGGGGTCGTCGTGGCTCCGAAACGCGGTGGAACACCAGGGTTTGGACCGCGGGAGACACCGTAGTCAGTGGTCTTCCCCGCTCAGTCCCTCTCCACGTTCCGAGGGCGCCCTTGCCGCGCTGGAGAAGGCGGGGTCAGCGACTGCAGGCAGCAAGGCGCGCTGGGATAGGTAGAGGCTGACGCCCATCTCGCGCTGGTCACCGGAAGTGCTGTCGTTTCTCCCTGTCCTGAGCCTAAAGCCTCCGAAGTTGGAGCGCTGCCCCGGAAGTTCTCCCCCGTCCCCTGCCCGCGGCAAACATGGCGGTGGACTCGTCCATGGAGCTGCTATTTTTAGATACTTTTAAGCACCCGAGCGCTGAGGTAAGGCTTGGAGAATTGATTCCGACACTGCTCCTCGACTTGGAGACCCTTGCCCCCTCATCGTTAGGCGTCCTGGACTGTTCTTCCTGCCGATCGCCGCGTCAGCTCCCCGCGTACACACCCCCACCCCCAGCCCGGGGAGAGCCCCGCGTCTGCAGGAGGGCGGCAGCAGCCCCCGGCTTTCCCTGCATCTTTGCTCGAGTTGGCTGCTCTGCTGGCATCACTTTTCATTTGTATTTTGTCCGGTCAGCTTGGGACCGCGAGAAGAATCGAGTTGTCTGGCTTACCTCTGGAGTTGTTTGGGAGGGAGCTGGGCGCTGGTCTTTGACAGTGGTGCATGGGTCTGAGCAGCTGTCGCCTGTTTCGTAGTTCCCGACTCATACGAAGTTTTAAAATTCCTCCTCTTAGGTCCCTGTTCTAACGCGACTCAAGTTGCTCAGTCGTGACACTCCTTCGGCTTAGGACTGTATCGCGCTCCAGTTTGTCCTGAAACTTTAATACTTTTGGAGCTTGCACACGTTAGAATTTGCGATGATGCTTACATCTCCTTGGCATGGAGGATGCTTGTGAAGCAGAGAGAGTTGGGGGAATCGTAGTCAAAACTGCCGTCAGAAACGTCGTCCGAAAGCAGATATATTGTCGCTTTGAGTGACGAGGGGGTTGTTGTGCAGCAGTCTACTTGGGCAATCTACCCGAACTAGTGAATGGTTTTGTTGCATTGATTGAAGATAGCTTGTTAACTAAAAGTTTCCGAAAGCCGGCCTAAAATGAATTTTAACGAAGTCCACAGAGAAATAATGGTAATAGTAATCAAAGAGCAACCCTCACATTTCTTCTCCTTCATGTAAACTCAAACAATATAGAGAGCTAGTCTTTCTTTGGAGATGAGTTCTTTTTTTATGAAGTGTGTTTTGTATCATGCTCCATGAGGATAAGGTAGAGTGTCTCTTGTTCTCAGCTGTATTTCCAGCCCCTACGATAGGAAAATGTCAATAAATGTTTGAATGAAAAAAATGTTTAAAATATTCTTTTATGAAATAGTGGTGTTAGAGGTAGTGGTTGGTAACTTTGATTTTTAAATGTAACGAATGATTTATAGGTGTGTAAAAGTCAAAAGCTGAGAAACTTTGGATTAGTATATATTACAGCAAGTTCATTCATGGCCTCACATTTCTTGTGTGTCAGAATACAGTTTGTTCAGTGACTACTACATTTCTCTGACATCATTCCACCTGGCTTTAGAAAACTTAAAATAGTGACAGAAGCTTCGTCAGAACAAGCCTCGTTGTACAGGAGTAGAGAACAGTTAAAAATTTGAAGAAAGAAGCATATGATGCATTAGTATTAGTTTAGAGAAAGTGGCATTACTTCATTATTTAGTCTATTTCTTCATTCTAAAGACAGATATTGAGGAACATGAGAGGATGGGGCAGTTAGTGACCTTCTCGAGGTGATTTAGGAAATTTAGAGTCTTGAAGGAGGAGTAGGGGTTTATGGGAGATAAATACTTTTTTGAGAAACCTTTGTTCTCAACAAGTTTGTATCTAAAATTATGATTCAAGTTAGAATGTGATAACTGCATAAAGAGGCACAGTGAGAATTCCTTGAGTTTCTCATCTTGTTTCCAAAATGCTTGTCCATATCTGACATAGTAGTTCTCCAGTTAATATTTATTTAGCTACCTCTGTGGTTATAAATGTGGTTTCAGAGAAAGAGATAACTCTTGAGAGTGTTAGGAGAGACTTCATCAAGTATTTGGCATACGAGTTTGGTTTTTGGTGGAACAAAAAATGTTTCACAACTGTAGTTAGGAAAGGAGGCCATTCTACTCGAGCAATCAGTTCACTTGTTAGGGTAACCCCAAAGTAGCAGTGGGAAGTGGCATATGAGGGGGAGAACCAGATCATGGAGCTCCTTAAATGTTCAACGAGGGAGTATAGACTTTTTGTTCAAATGGCTAGTTTTTGAATGCGTAAAGTTACTAATTGTGATTAGTAAGCTACATTAGGTAGGTTAATTGATCAGTAATACCTAAAATAATTCAGGAAAAACAGGTGGCAAAATCAGGAAGAAATAGTAAGATAATGAAAACTTGAGTTAGCAGGTGAGAATTAACACTTCTTAGTTAGCATTTAGTGAATACTTGTTTTGTGCAGGAACAGTGCTTTGGTTGTTTAAATAAATTACCTCTGATCCTTCCATCATTTTGTAGATTGACTGAGTTTGAGAGGTTAGGTGACTTCCTTAAAGTGGCATAGCTAGATAAAGATAGACCAACCTCCAGGTACATGTGTGGTGGCATGAACCTGTAATCCTAGCACTGGAGGTAAAGTAGATTCAAGGCCAGCCTGGGCTATATAGTGAGAGCCTATCTCAAAAAAAAAAAAAAAAAAGATTGACCAATAAGTGTATATTTTCCTGGCTCTAAAGCTGTGTGCTGTGCTGTATGCTACACTATATCCCAGTGTGACTAAATAGGAAGGGATACTTGCAAGATACATCTTTGATACAGATTTGACAGTATAGTAACTGATTGTAGTGAAAATGCCCAGTAGAAGTTGGGAGTCTCTTTAACAGTTGTTTATGAAAAATACTGCTCTAGGAGGAGCAGAACAAGTAAAAACAAAGGAAAAACCTGTTGCTTTCGCTTTGAAAGGAATTTGTAATCTGATAAAGAAGGTAAATTTCTATTAAAGTTTCAGAAGGGGAGTCCTTATAAGAGGTCTGACTTGTGCTAAATGAATTACAGATTATGTTTGTGGTTTCTATGCCACTCTTTAAAAAATGAAATAAATGTTATTTTAGTAAATATAAATTTTATTGTAGAAAAATACAGAAAAGCACAGGCTTTCATAATCCCACCTTTCTTAGTTTCATCTATCATTAATAGTGTTTTCTCTTTTTGTATTTATTTATTTTGCTAACAATCTCCTTTTCACATAAAGAGTTGTACATTTATAAAAATACACGGATATCAGGAGATAAGCAGTTAAACTTATTAATAGACAATTTGGATATAAGGGAATAATGTTCCAATATGTGAATAAAATACTTAACATTGCAAATCAAGAATGCAAAGCATGGGTTGGGAAAGTGGTAGAAAGCCTGCTTAGCAAGTACAGGCCCTGAGTTCAAACCCTAGTACCACCACCACTGCCACCACCAAAAAAAAGCAAGATAAAACTCTAATATTCATAACTCATTTAACATACTTGGAAAAAATTTTTAAATTAAAATCAGGGGCGCCTGGAAGTGTGGCTCTAGTGGTAGAGTGCCTAGCAAGCATAAAACACAGAGTTCAAACCTCAGTACTGCTAAAAAAAAAAAATTAAAATGAGATTTAAGCAACATTATTTGGTAAACAAGAATATTAGTTGAGAGCCTCTCTCTCTCTCTCTCTCTCTCTCTCTCTCTCTCTCTCTCTCTGTATATATATATATATATATATATATATATATAATGTATGTATTTTTGGAAGTACTGGGGTTTGAACTTATGGCCTTATACTTACTAGACTGGTACTTCAACCTCTTGAGCCACTCACCATCCCATTGATACTCCTATTGAAGTGAGTGAACCAATTTCCTTTCACTCTCCTTCAAACCTATTATAATCTGTACTTAGTTTGCATTTTATTGTTGTAAATAACAGCATTTTTTTTGTTGTTGTTTTTTGTGGTATTGGGTGTTGAACTAAGGGCCTTGTGCTTGCTAGGCAGGTCTAGCCCAAGGTCTCACTCTTGTATGTCCTGCAGGCCTGGACTGTGATCCTCCTCCTTGTGCTTCTCTGCATAGTTGGGGATGACAGGTGTGTGCCAACATGCCTGGCTATTAGTTGAGATGGGGGTTGGGGGGCGGTTCTTACTAACTTTTTGGCCAGGCGCATTCTGAACTGTCATCCTCCCTATGTCTGCCTCTTCAGTAACTAGGATTATAGGCGTGAGCCACTGTACCTGGTCAACAGCTTTCTTTACATTAATATTTTCCAAATCTTCTAGTGAATATGATTATGCATAAATGTAAATGTATATACTCACTACCTACATTACTGTTCCCAATACCGTAATGTTTTGTAGTTACTTTTTTCGCTTAATGTTGTATTGTGTATCTTCATAAGTGAAGAAATTCACTCATACCACATTAAAAATAAGCTTCATTTAAAAATGTTTCTTTTTTTTGACTAGGTAATGGCATGTATGAGGTACAATTCACTTATATAACAATTAAAAATAAGCTTCATTTAAAAACGTTTCCTTTATTTTTTTGACTTGGTAACACATATATCAGGTACAAATTCAAAAGGTAAAAAAGGGTATACAGTAAAAAGTAAGTCTTTTTCTTCCCTGTTCCCTAGACATCCTGTTTATTTCTTTCTGTATAATCCCATTTTAATTGGCTGCATAATATTTCTTTAAGTGATATATACTAAATTTTCACACATTTAGGTTTCTGACTTTTTACAAATAGTAATGTAAGGCTAGATTACTTTATGCATCTTTTATTTCTTTTCAGAGTGGAAATGTTGGGTTAAAATATAGTTTTAGGAGGAGTGGTTGATGCTAGAAAGTCCTTCATTTAAGAGTCTTGTTAGGAAACGGATTTGAAGCTCATCTGCACAAGTGATATAATGGAAGTGGTAGGAACAGATGAGATAGTGAAGGGAGAGAGTGGAAAGAGAAGGTTGTTACAGGGATAGAAGAGCATGGGAAGGGAGTTACACTGTGATTCCCCTCCACCTTTTTTTTTTTTTTTTTGGTGGCACTAGGGTTGGTAGGCAGGTGCTTTTACTTTGAGCCACTCTTCCAGCCCTTTTTTTTGAGATAGGGTCTCTCGAACTGTTTGCTGGAGCTGGCTTTGAACCGTGATCCTCCCATCTCTGTCTCCTGAGTGGCTGTGATTACAGGTGTGAGCCATAGGTGTCCGCTATACTGTGATCTTTAAACACAATGACTTCTGTGGATAAATGGGGCTGAGAGTTGTAAAATGTGACCAGTCTATTCTTCATATTCCTGTTAACTCCCTGATACAAGTCATCCTTGTTTTCCCATTGTCAACCTGTCTTTCTAGGTTTTTATTTAACTTTATGAAATAAACACAATTCAATCACTTTTAAGTGCCTGCTAAAACTTCTTCATTCATTAAGTAATATGCTAGATGGTGAATATACAGTAAAACCGAGTCTTGCTTCTTGTCACCTTGTAGCATATACTTTTTTTTAAAATTTTTATTTTATTCATATGTGCATATAATGTTTGGGTCATTTCTCTCCCCTTCCCCCCCTCACCTTCCCCCCTCCCTTCCTTAACCCCCCTTACCCCACGCTTACCAGGCAGAAACTATTCTGCCCTTATCTCTAATTTTGCTGAAGAGAGAGTATAAGCAATAACAGGAAGGACCAAGGGTTTTTGCTAGTTGAGATAAAGATAGCTATACAGGGAGTTGACACGCATTGATTTCCTGTACATGTGTGTTACCTTCTAAGTTAATTCTTCTCGAACTAACCCTTTCTCTAGTTCCTGTTCCCCTTCTCCTATTGGCCTCAGTTGCTTTAAAGTATCTGCTTTAGTTTCTCTGTGTTGAGGGTAACAAATGCAGCATATACTCTAGTGAGAGAGTTAAAAGGAGGCAATTACAGTTGTTTTTCTCTTCTCTCTCTCCTTGCTTCACTTCTTGTTTTCCCTCTCCCCTCTCTCATCTCCTTCCTTTTATGCTGGGGATTGAACCAGTCAAGTGCTCCACTACTTGAGCTACACCCCCAGCTCTCTGTCTTAACTTTCAAGAGAAAGTTAACATCTAAGGGAGCTGGGACAGAAGGTATGGGTGGTAGTGGTGGTTCTAAGCAGAGAGAACAGCATAAATGAGGCATGAAGTTGGAAATGCATATGGTATGTTAGGGATATAAGTTTGAAGTGATACAGAGGCCAAGCTTGTGGGCTGGAGGCATGGTTTAAGTTGTAGAATGCCTGCCTACCAAATGTGGAGTCCTGAGTTCAAGCCTCAGTACCTCCAAAGGAGAAAAAGAGGAAAAGGGGGAGGGAGGGGAGAGGGAAAGGGAGAGGACAAACAAGTTTGTTTATAGCAATAGGACTTTGGTTTGGCTACAGGAAAGAGAAGGGGAGTGTTGCAGTTATATTCTAGAAAGACCACATTGCAGTAGGAGAATGGGTTGGTGGGGGGAGTAAAAAAGAAGCATAAAACCTTTATGATTCTATTGGTGCAATCAGATTGGAGCAGTATAGTATGTAGAAAGGAACAACAGGAGTCAAGGGAAATACACAGATTTGAGGCTTTTTAGAAATTTAATCAATAGGACTTGGTATTTGAATGGATAGATGATTTAGATGAGAGAGAATGAGAAGCCAAATAGGATAATGTGTTGGGCGTTGTGTGGATAGTGGTACCATCACTAATATAGGAGAGCTCAGTTTGGGACTTGCCAAGTTTGTGGGCCATTGGATGTAGGGGCTCAGGAGGGAGGTCCTAGATAGAGGGACAGTTTTGGAGTTGTCTTCTGGTTATGGATGAAAATCTTATTTCTTATAATTCTGTTGGATGTGCTCAGCCACTCTGTTCTATTTTCCTCTCCCCTTTGCCCTCTAGCTCTAGTGAACTATGCTTGCAGTTTCTTGAACCTTCCGAGTTCTTATTTGCCTTCTTTCTGTACATGCTGTCTCCCTTTGACTAGGAAGCTCTTGTCTCTCTTCTACTAATTTTTGTTTTCCCTTATGACTTAGCCCAGGTGCTTCTTTTGGGAAATCTTCCCTGAATCTCCTTTTCTTCCCCTGCAAATGTTTGCTCATAATCTGAGCTAGGTAAGTACCTCTCTGAGTTTTCACAGCATTGTGTGTGCTTCTGTATCGTGGCAGTTTATATGTCTACTACAACAAATTGTTTCTTAATGGCAGACATGTTTTGTCTTTCTTTCCTCAGAAGCTAGCATTGGAACATAATAGACATTTAATTAAATTTAGAAATAAGTGTTTAGTAAAAGTGATAGCATCCAATACAGAAGCTCTTCTACTTATAAAAGAGCCTGTCTTTGTATCCATAAATTCATTTTTTTAGGTTCAGTGATTATATCCTAACTACTATGAATACCATTCTTTAATAGATGGTAGGATAGAGGAGGATATAGTTTAAAAACTTTTGTGCTAAGTGTTCTTTGTACATATAAATGAGAATTCATAATTGTATGAGACAAGGAACTTCTATATAGTGGGTTTTTAGAAGAGTTCTTTACAGGAAGGAAGTATAGCACCAAAGTGTGTGGCAAAATGCTTATTTTTTTTATATAAACCTATTGAGGTATTTTGAATACCTAAGGTATAGTCATAATAATTAGGCTACAGTTCAGCTACTGTAACAAAAGCTAAATTAAAAGTGATTCCATATAAGATAGCATTTTTCTCTTTCAATAATCTTGAAAATAGGGTTGGGGCGTGGCTCAAGCACTAGAATGCCTGCCTCCCAAGCATGAAGCCCTGAATTCAAACCCTAGTTCAAAAAAAAAAAAAGGAAAACAACAGCAAAAAAACCCACTTTGGTATTTGGTATTCTTATTTAAAGTTTGTGACATGATGTATGCGTGTATATAAATATCTCAGTGAAATCCATTAATTTGTACAATTAATATGTGTTAAAATTATAATAAAAAGAAAAATTTAAGTTGGTGTTAAACTTTTAAAAAATAATCTTGAAAATAATCTAGGGCTAATATGCAGCTCTGCAGTGTTGGGATTTGAGGTTCCATCTGTATTTCTCTCTGCCATCATTTGGGCATTGGCTATAATAGCTCATTACAACTTTTGTGTTCTGGAAAGTCAACAGAGTATTGGAAGAAAAGGTGGAAGGTGGGTCTGAAAGTCTGAACCTTAAAGGAATCTTTAAGGGCATGATCCAGAGTTGCCTACTTCATTTCCATTTGCATCTTGATCAGAGAATGCAGTAATCACCTGTTTGCATTGGCTTCTGAGAAATGACCTTTAATTCACTCATGCTTAGCTAAAACTTCTCTAGAAGAAGAGGAAAATAGGTATTTAAGGACAGCAGTCAGCCTCACTTTGCATTCATCCTGCTTATTTTATACCTATGAGAGATTAAGTAACATTACCATTTTTTAAATTCTGTACCTATATATTAATTATAATCTCCAAACTTAAAATGCAAGATTATGAAATCATTTTTTTGTCCTATTTCAGGGAAGATTAACCTGAACACATTGTTTTGGTCTGTTGATAAGCTTGATAATCTTTGCAGCTTGAAAAGAGTCTCAGCCATTCTAAATGTAAATAATGTGAAGCATTCTTCTTGTGGTGAACTTAGAACACTAGGCAAAATGTTAGTTGACCGAATTGCTAGAAAAAGTTGATGTAAAATAGTTCAGAAACAATGTGAAAATGCTCTTTTGTTACTGTCACAGAGCTGCATTTGTTTTATTCTACATCAAATGTTATAATAGAGATAATATGTACTAAGTGTAATTTGCTATCCATTCTTTTATTATGATAAACTCTTAGTTTGTGGATTATTTTTTAATTTGGGAGAGAAGGTCTCTGATACCTTGATGTTAGTTAAGTTTAGCAAAGTATGCTAATTTAAGTACAGATTTATAATCTTATCTGTAATTTCAAAGATTGAAAAAATGGCAGAAAAATCTGCCCTGAGTTCATTTGCTCATACAATCCAGTTATTTAGTGTGAATGTTGATACATCTGGCTGTAGAAATATATTTTGGTGGTACTGGGGCTTGAACTCAGGGCCTCACACTTGCTAGACAGATACTCTTCCACTTGAGCCACTCTGTTTTTGATTATAAGATACTGCCCAGAAGCCACTAGAGGTCATAAGTAATATGCAATATTTGCATAATACTACCTTTTAAAAACCAAGAAGGTCAGGATTTTGAAAGGCAAGTGGCTCTAGAGGTTTCAGATAAGGGAATTTGGTGGATCTATAGTGGTCTAGGCAGAACATGATCAAGAGGTAAATGCACTACCCAAAATTTTATGCCAGTTGAGAAACTTACTGCATTTTTATTTGATGATGTGGAGTTTATTTATTTTTCTGTGTTGAGAATCAAACCCAGGTCCTTGTATATGTTAGGCAAGTGCTCTATCACTGAGTTACATTCCCAGCCCTGTAGTTTATTTTAAGGTTATTAGTGACATTTGAGTGAAAAAAAATTAAAGTTGTGTATATTTTGAATTGAAAAAGAATATTTTCTCTTTCTTATTATCTCTTAGGTTTTCTCTTCAACAAAATTGGAGAACAAGAGGGTGGAACAGGTTCTGCCCAGAAAGGGCCAGGGGTGGCCCAAATAATGTGTACACATGAGAGTAAATGTAAAAACGATAAAATAGAAAAAAAAAAGAAAAAATGTTTTCCTTACAGTATGTCTTCTCCCTCCCTTTTTTAAAGCAAAGTTCTCATATAGATGTGGTTCGCTTTCCATGTGTGGTTTATATCAATGAAGTCCGAGTCATACCCCCAGGAGTAAGAGCCCATAGCAGTCTACCTGACAACAGAGCATATGGGTAAGTCAACTCTGTTTGTAAAACTATTTTTTTCACTAAAGATTCTCAGAAACATGCGAGCATACATACGTGTGCCTGCTTGTGTGTGTGTGTGTATTTCAGTATCTCAGTGCTGGGGATCAAACCCAGGGTCTCATGCATGCTGGGTAAGCACTCTACCACTGACCTATGTTTCCAACCCAGGATGAAGTCTTTTTAACTTGACTTTTCCCTTTAAAATAAATAAGAATTAATTTGAATATTTAGAAATACTTTTTTTTTTTAATCACACTTTACTGTTGTGTTTTTTTGAGGGGGGACTGGGAGTCTAACATGCATTTGTAGCTTATGTGTTCATTTTATTGATGCTGTGGATAACTCAATTTCTATTACATAAAAAGTTAAATCTGCCACTTCATGTGAGTGTAATGGGACACATTCAAAGTTAAAAGCTTGGTTCTTTCTAATTGTGAAAAATAGTTGGATGTTTATAGAAATAGATATAATATCTTCAGATGTGCCATTCAAAAATTAAAACACAAAGTAAAACAATAAGAATATTTAATGTTTATAATGAGGGATCATTATAGTTAACTTCATACTGTTTTTCCATGTTTAAGAAAATTAAAACTCGGCTGGAGATGTGGCTCAAGTGGTAGAGTGCCTGCCTAGCAAACACTAGGCCCTGAGTTCAAACCCCAATACCACCAACAAAAAAAAAAGAAAATTAAAACTCATGTTTTCCTCCCATATGTTTCCCCACTTTTCCTATAAAGGGAGATGCTCATAGAATGGAAAAGACAGGGTAATGATATGAATTACCCTGTATTTTCATACTGCTTTTGTCAAGAAAGGTCTGTTAGTTATGTTTCCTATCTATAACAAATTATAGCAAGTTTTAGCTGCTTAAAATAGTAAACATTTATACATTGTTTCTAAGAATCAGATATCTGACAGTGTTTTAGCTGGCTCAGGTTCTCTGACCTGCAGGTCAGAGCTGTAGTTTCAGAAGATTTGAGTGGAGCTGGAAAGTTTTCTTGGAAACTCACTAATGTGGCTGTTTGTAGGAGGCTGGAGATCCTCTCCATTTGGATCCTTCCTGCCCATGTTATGACATAGCTTCCTCCAGAGAGAGTGATCTAAGAGTGAGAGATCATGCCTAGAAAGAAGCCATAATCAGCATGTTCTTTAATTAGTATTGGAAGTGATGCACTGCTATTCTTAATCATAATCTGTTGAGGACATACCCTACATAGAGTGTGAATACCAGGAAGCAGGGGTCATTGGGGACCATCTTGGAGGCTGGCTACCACAGTAGGCAAAATAGATCTCTGCCATTAGCATCAGTGGCAGAAATGTATTTACATAATGTATTTACATTTTCTCTGTTCTTTTTCTTTCTCTTCCTTTTTCTTAGCTGAGGATGAATGGCTGTTCATATTGTAATAACTCCAAATATAAAAAATACCAAAAACATCTTTACACATGGTTGATATGTTACAGAACAATAAAACAAAGGATTAATGGAGTAATCAAAATACATGATTCAGGAAGTCTGTTTTCTCAAAGTTGAAAGTAATGTTTAAGATTAAAAGATACTTGTGCAGAATACTTTACAAGTGTTATTTTTTTTCATTATAAAACTCAGAAATAAACAGGTAAAATTAAAATTCCTGGAGGTTAGTTTTTTAGTTACTTAAATGAGTTCTAAGCTTTAGTGCAATTAAGCAGGGTTTTATGATACAGGCCTATAATCCCAGCACTCAAGAGGCTGGGCAGGAGAATCTTGAGTTCAAGGGCAGCCTGGGCTACATAGTGAGTTCCAGGCCATTGTGAGCTACATAGTGAAAAAAAAAAGTTTTGTACAAGCAAAAACATTACCTTTTTCTTTTCTGGTGGTTCTGGGGATTGAACCTGGCATCTTACATGTTTTAGACTAGTGCTCTACCATTGAGCTATATCACCAACATTAAAATTTTTAAATGTTTAGGGCTGGGTGCAGTGTCTCATGTCTGTAATACTAGCTACTCTGGAGGCAGAGATTGGGAGGATCAAGACTTGAGGCCACCTTGGTTAAAAAGTTACTCAGTACTGCAAAAGAGAAAAAAAAATTGTTACTGAGACCCCATCTAACAGTAAATCTGGGTGTATGTGGTGGCTTGCGCTTGTCATTCCAGCTGTGCTGGAAGCCTAAGTAGGAGGATAGCAGTCCAGGCTAGCCTGGGCAAAAAATACTAGACCCTATCTGAAAGTAACTACAGCAGAAAGGGCAAGAGGCATGGTTCAAGTGGTAGAGCATTGCCTAGCAAGCAGTGAGGCCCTGAGTTCAAACCCTAGCATTGCCAGGAAAAAAAAAAAAGATTGTTCTTTAAATGTTTAAGGTAAATACCAAGAGCAATTCTAGAAGTAGTATACGGTAGTCTTAAGATTTAAACAATAAAATATGCAGTTAACGATTCAACAAAATTTTATTTATATCCAATTCTCAAGTAACCAACTGTTCACTTTAAGTATTATTGAAAGTAAATTTTTAATCAAAATCACCAAGATCATTTCAATTGTTTTTGTTGTTGTTGTTGTTAAATCTTAAGACTTGTATAGTAATTCTCAGATTGCTCTTAACTTTGTACTGTGTTTTTTTGTTTTAATAAAGGAAATAATTATTACAAAGATGACATTTTGATGTTTTATTCACAGGGAGACATCTCCACACACATTTCAGTTAGACTTATTCTTCAACAATGTAAGCAAACCAAGTGCTCCAGTGTTTGATAGGTTGGGAAGGTATGTATCTGCTTGGTAATTTCATCAAAAGCTTCATGAGTTAGAAAGCAAAATTTTTATTCTTCTCATAGAAGTAAAGGATGTATCTGGTGGTAAACCCAAGAATGTAGTGCTTAACTTTATTAACTGACAATAGGAAACAAATATCAAATTCCTAAGACAATATTAAGTTTATAAAACAAAAATTTAAATATGTGAAACATTAGCCATCTTTCATTTGCTTAATATGCATGCATTTTATATACACATGGTACTGTCACATGATATGTTAGAAACCTAATTTTGAAAACACTTTGTTTTTTTTTTGGTGGTACTTGGTTTGAACTTGGCCTTACACTTGCTTGGCAGATGCTTTACCACATGAACCACATCTCAGCCCTGCTTTTTGATTCTTGAAAAGCCTACATAAATGCAATGAAAGCTAAAATTTTGTGTGTGCCTTTTATATTGCACTGATGTTAAATTTGAAATTCCATGGTCACAATGAAAGCACATTATATACATTTATTGAAATACACAATGAAACCCCTGACATTAATAAAAAAAAGACAAGAAAAATTTCATGGTCAAGTTTCATGAGATTGGTTAATAGATACTCTCTTTTTTGTTATTTAATACATGCTAGACTTTAAAACTGGATGTTAGGGCTAGCCAAGTGGCTAGGCCTGTCTGCCTAGCAAGCATGAGTGGTTCTCTGCTAGGGCTATATATTAGAATTAATTGGGGGCTTTTAAAAAACAACTGATGTCTGTACTTAACCAGAAACCAATTAAAATCTTTATGAGTTTGATTTATACTTCCTTTCATGATGTTCTGGGGGGCAGTAATTAAGCCCAAACTTTGTGGTTTATTAAATCTAAACAAAAATCTAGCATTTGTATTGAAATATTTGAATCTAGAAAGACTTCGTCAAAATTTGTGACGTTTGGTGTTTGAGACTATGTTTATTCCTACTCTTTTGGCAGCCTGGAATATGATGAGAATACTTCTATCATCTTTAGACCCAACTCAAAGGTAATTGTGGAAGTCAGTTTTCACCTTGTCACTGTTATTTGCGCTTTCAAAGTTTTTGATCCAGATAAATCAGTGATGCAGAATTTGCTTCTAATTCTGTCATTTCTCGTCTGTGTCCTCTTGCATGCAGAAGCTATAAAGCTATACTTTATAATGCCATTCTCTAAAGAGTCTAAAGACCTCCGATCCATGATTTTATGCTTGAGTCTGCAAGAGGCCAGCATTTTTGTCTTCCCTTTTTTCATGTATGTGCAGAAGTTCAGAATATTGAGGCAGGTAAATTATTATTAGATGCTACTATGCCTTAATTAAAGTTTCTTTCCTTTTTTTTTTTTTTTTTTTTTTTGTAGTACCTACTTTACGCTTGCTACGCAGGTGCTTTATCACTTGAGCCATTCTGCCAACCCCTTTTTTGTGTTGATCTCTTACACTATTTGTGTGGGCTGGCTTCAAACCTTGATTCTCCTGATCTCTGCCTCTTGAGTAGCTAGGATTACATGTCAGCCACTGGTCTCTGCTTAATTAAGATTTCTTCAAAATACGTATTTCATAGTTTTTCGTATCAGTAGTATGCTTTATTTTTCAAGTGTCATTCTAGAAGCATCTAATGGAAGATATGAAATGCAAATCTCAGTTTGCTGTTTGATTTTGGAGCATGGTATTTAATTCTGTGTATCCTGTTTAGATTAAAAGTTACCTTCCTTATCTGTTTGTCTTACTTCCAGTGGGATTTAGATTTCTGATAAGAGTTGTTTTCCATCGCTGAGCATAGTCTTTGATTTTTCTTCTGAGTCTTTCCTCATTTTTCCTGTGTAGCCTAGCAAGGAGAATAATAATTACTTTCATCCTTATTGTGCCCCCAGAAGGGGCACAGAAATCAAGGGTTTTGGCTTCTGATACAGGTTGCTTTTTTGACACTCTGGTTTTCTTAATCATTGAAAGGCAATGATCATGTTAGCTCTGACTACCTCTCATGGTTATTGATCTGGTGATTAATGTAAATAAGCTCTGAAAAGCATAAGTTGTAATTTTTTATTCTATTGGCACTCTTTGTTTTTTTTTTAGGAGAAAATTTCTTTACAAAAACAATTCGTTAGCCAGGTATAGTGGTGCATGCCTGTATCCCAGAACTTGGAAAGCTGAGGCAGGAGGATTGGGAATTCAAAGCTAGCCTAGGTTACTCAGTGAGATTGAGGTGAGTCACACTTTTGAACAGGAGTTGACATAAGCTATCGAACTGGAAAGTTGTAGTTTTATGTTGGATTTAGTTTCAGAAACTGCAGAACTATAGAAAAGCTTTGTTTCTGTGTGAATTGACCATTTGCATTTTCAGCATGCTTTTAAAGGCTTCAGTTGAACCATAAACTAATTTGACTTAAGTTTACTTATGGCATAGTGAAATATTAATTTGTACAATTTTTTTCTGTAAAAATCAGGTGAATACAGATGGTCTGGTGCTAAGAGGCTGGTACAACTGCCTGACACTGGCAATATATGGATCAGTGGATAGAGTGATAAGTCATGACAGAGATTCTCCACCTCCGCCTCCACCTCCACCTCCACCTCCCCAGCCACAGCCAAGTTTGAAAAGGAATCCAAAACATGGTGAGAATTTTAAATTTGTTTTCGCCAGTGAAACTTATCCCTATTGTACTAAGAAAACCTAATTCAAAGAGCTTTTCTATCTTTTGAACTTTGTGTGAGATTTGACATGATATGTCTGTCTCCTATTCTTTCCTTAAGAATTTATTTTTATGTTAAGGTACTTACATTTTATATTCTTCCTGTACTTTCTTGGAGAGCTTTTTATTTATTTTTATATCTGTTATCATTTATTTTAAAAAACACCCTCCTCTCATGCTGGGAATCAAATCTAGGGCTTGGGCATGCTAGGCAAGCACTTTATCACTGAACTACATCCCTCGCTAGAGATCTTTTGAAATCACCTGAGGAGATTTATTTCCCATTTAAAATATTTTAATGAAGCTGGGCAAAGTGGCTTATGCTTGCTGGTTGAGATAAGGGTAGCTATACAGGGCATTGACTCACATTGATTTCCTGAGCGTGTGTGTTACCTTCTAGGTTAATTCTTTTTGATCTAACCTTTTCTCTAGTACCAGTTCACCTTTTCCTATTGGCAGATAGGGCCTTTTTATAACTTTCTCTGGCTGACTCTGCCTCCTGAGTATCTGGGATTACAGTTGTGTACCACTGTGCTCACTATCGTTTTCCTTTAATCCTTCTTTGCTTATTTGTCTTTTTCACCAGATTGCAAGCTCTTTATGAGCAGAGAATATCTTTTACTTATATTTGTGCCTTACAGTATAGTAACTGTTCCTAAAATTTTATTATGTTTACTGACTTTGTGTGTGTGTGTGGTACTGGGGATCGAACCCAGGGTTTTGTACGTGCAAAGCACATGCTCTATTACTAAAGTATACTCCCATCCCATACTGTAGTTTATTTAACCTTTCATGTATTGAAGGACATTTTAGTAGCTTCCAATTTTTGCCTATTACAAAAGAAGCTGCACATTTGTGTACATTTTCCTGCACAAAAATAGGTTTTTATTTTTTTAGGGTTATGCTGTAGAGAGGTGTATGTTATATATTGGTGTGTGGGAAGTTAGGAATTCTGACGTTACCAATATAGAATTTTTGTTAAGATTCCTTTTTGGAGTCTTAGCAAAATTTATTTATCAGTAAATTCATTTCAGTTCTAAGAAAATTGAAGAACAGTTAGAGCCCAGCACCAGTGGCTTATGCCTGTGAATCCTAACTACTTGAGAGACAAGAGATCAGGAGGATTGAAGTTTGAAGCAAATAGTTCATGAGACCCTATCTTGAAAATATTCAACACAAAACAGGGCTGGCTGAGTGGCCCAAATGGTAGAGTGCCTACTTAGCAAGTATGAGGTCCTGAGTTCAAATTCCTGCACAACCAAAACAAAAAAGAAAGTTTGGTACATGTTCCTGAATACTTATGTTAATGGGGTTTTTCTCAGGAATGCATTTCAAATTTGTTAGGATGGATAAATCTTAATTAATACAGCTTTATTAGTAAATTCTGAAGATAAAAATTCAAATGATGGAGAACATTTTTCATGTATTCATTTCACTACACTTTAATAATCTGAAAGTTTTTTTTCCTGTCTCTAATAAAACTCTAGCTGATGGTGAGAAAGAAGGTCAGTTTAATGGAAGCCCTCCAAGACCACAGCCACGAGGACCTAGAACTCCTCCAGGACCCCCTCCACCTGATGATGATGAAGATGATCCTATGCCTTTGCCAGGTATAAAATCAGTGCTATGGAGTTTTCCTCACTGATTAGTGTTAAGTTAATGCTTTTTTTTTTTTTTTTTTTGGGTGGGGCAGGAGTTTGAACTCAGGACTTCAGGCTTGCATAGCGGGCATTCTGCCATTTGAGTGACATCTCCAGTCCATTTTGTTCAGTTATTTTGGAGATGGGGTCTTGGGAAGTATTTGCCCAGGATGATCTTGAACATTGATCCTCTTGATCTTAGCCTCTCAGGTAGCTAGGATTACAGGTGTGAGCCACTGGCACTTGGCCTAGTGCTTGTTTTAATCAAATTTTTTATTAGTGTATATTAGTTGTACAGAAATGGGTTTCATTCTGACATTTCATACATGTACTTTGACGTATTTCCTATATCCCCCTACCATTAAAACTAGATGCTGGTAATTAAATGTTTTTGAATGTTCCCTCTCTTTCATCCTGTCTAGGATTTCCTTTTTTTCTTTTTGGTAGTTCAGGAGTTTTGACTCAGGGCCTTGGGCTTGCTAGGCAGGTGCTCTACCACTCGATCCATAACCTCACCCACCTTTTGTTTTTCTGTTGGCAAGTGAATGTCTTACAAAATCAGTTAATTAATTTGAAGGTGTATCAACAGTGCTTTTTTTGTACTGAGGCAGTACTGAAGTTTGAACTCAAGGCCTCAAGCTTGCTAGGCAAGTGCCGTACCACTTGAGTCACATCTCATGCCCCCAACAATACATTGACTACAAAGGGTTGATGTGCTATAATGGTATGTGTGGATGAGTACCAGTTAAAAGTAAGCAGTGTGTACTAGAAGAGATCAAAATCTGTATATGTACCTAGTAACTAAAAAGAAAAGGATTAGCTTATCTAGAACATAAAATAGTATGCTTTATTCTCACTGTATGAAATTATGTTGTATATACTCTTTTTAAATAATGTGTACTCCTAGTATTTTTTTAAAGCAAATAATTCTGCCTTTTTATTTTATTTTTTTTGATGGTACTGGGGATTGAACTCAAGGCCTCACACTTACTATGTAAGCTCTCTACCACTTGAGCCATACCTCCAGCCCCTCTGCTACTTTTGTAAAATGACATTTTATGAGCTAAATCATCCAATATGTCATTGAGCAGCTACAGTATCATCATGATGCTTCATGTTATTTAAAGCATTAAAATAAACTGCCTTAAATCTCAATTTTTTTCAGTATCTAGTGACAAGGAAGAGGATGCGCCTCATCGAGAAGATTACTTTGAGCCCATTTCTCCTGATCGGAATTCTGTTCCCCCTGAAGGTCAGTATTCTGATGAGGGAGAAGTAGAAGAGGAACAGCAAGAAGAAGGAGAAGATGATGATGATGATGTGGATGTAGAGGAAGAAGAGGATGAGGATGAGGATGACCGTCATACAGTAGACAGTATCCCTGAGGAGGAGGAGGAAGATGAAGAGGAAGAAGGTGAAGAGGATGAAGAAGGTGAAGGTGGGTTATATTATTGAGGATTTTGGCTTTAAGAACTGGAAATTAACTAGATGTAGCTTTGAGCATTGCAAGAGAATTTATAGCAAAGATAAACGGGTTTCAAGAAACTCAAGGGTTATATACATAGGTCTAAAGACATTACTAGAAATGAGGTTTCCATCTCTTTTGTGTGTCTACTTTAGTCTGTCTGTCAGCTAGTTTGTTTACTTGCTCCACAGCCCTAATCTCTTTTGTTTACCTAACTTGCCTAAACTACCTGACTGTCTCAGTCCCATTTCCAATTTCCTGGGAGAGAGATTCTGTTTGACTTGCTACAATGTGAGTTGCTCCTTGATCCCATAGGCTTGGCCATGTCATATAGAAACTATATTATGATTAGGGATTTTCGTAGGTGTTTTCCGTGTAAGAAGTGGTAGTAGTAGTATAAACTGGTTATAATTCCTAAACTTGTGGCACTTAGATGTTTTAGCAAAAAGTTATATTGTTTTTAGAAATTCAGGGGAAAACATTCTCATTTACACAAGTGCATATGGCAGTATGTTGCAGTCCTTTAATTACATTTTATTTGAAAGCAATAAGTAAGAGAGATTGAGTTGTTTGTATGTAATGTTGAAGCATTTATGCAAAATGACAGCTAATCTGCCTTTTTAAAAAAACAGTAGTGAGGATCATTTCAGAATCACAGGGACCCTTTTACAACATACACAAATAATGAGGTTATTGAGTGATATTTTTCTTAACTTTCTCCATTCCCAGATTACCAAATAATTCTTTTAAAATTTATTGTATGTGACTGGCAAATAGTTGTTACATTTCATCCACCCAGGACAGCTTGGCAGAGAAGGTGAGAGAAGGGGGCTGGTTGATTTGCTTTATAATATTAGACATATAAAAAATACCAAAAGACACTCTGTCTTAGCTCAGAGCCAGACCTCTGTAGGCCTTAATCTTTCCAGATGGGAGTATATTGCTAAGGCTTAGTCAAGAGAGGGCTGCAGGAATTCTCTGGAAGCATTTTCTTTTCTTTTCTTGGGCCATTATTGCTCATCTCCATTTTACTATTGCCAGGTAATAGAGTGTTCAAAAGTAAAACAAATAAATTTTCTCTCTTCAGTTCTGTTTGACATATAATAAAAAGGTACACATATGTAGTGATAAGAAAGCTTTATTTTGGCAAAATGAGCATTTTAGATGAACAAATTTTCTATAAGAATGTGACAGACCTAGGAATCTGTTGTATAAACACAGGTTTAAAATTCGAGAATATGAAATAGAAAAAGAACCTACAATTTTTTTCTGAAAATATTTAACTTTAATTACTGCATTAATTCTTACTTAACTTTAATAATCTTTGCACACCATATTTTTTTTCATCTTAAAAACCATCTCTTGGTCTGGTGGAGTAGCTCAAGTGGTAGGTAGAGCTCCTGCTCAGCTAGTGTGAGGCCCTAAGTTCAGACCCCAGTACTGCCAAAAAAACAAAACAAAACAAAAAACAAAATCTCTCAAGAGGGTAAACTTAATTTCTTCCTTCCTGAGAGAGGTATTTTTGTTACTTTGAGACATTTTGAATTTTATTTCTATGAGGAAAAGATACTCTAGTGTAGTTAGTTATAAAGCTAAACAGATCAAATAGAAGAATTTGCTTTAAAAAAGTTTGTCCATAATTATTCTATTAGAAATTATGAAACATTAGCATTTGTTGATATGAGAGGAAACAGGTTTTTTTAATTGAGAAAATCATTAATTCTTAATGTTTGACATACTATGAAATAAACAGTTTTTTGAGAATCAAAATTTATGCACTAAGCAGCAATGATGTAGTACTTAAATATTATTTGTACTTATTTTCAGGGGATGATGGTTATGAACAAATTTCCAGTGATGAAGACGGAATTGCTGACTTGGAACGGGAAACCTTTAAATATCCAAACTTTGATGTTGAGTACACTGCTGAAGACCTAGCATCTGTCCCTCCTATGACATATGATCCATATGACAGAGAACTGGCACCACTCTTATACTTCAGCTGTCCCTACAAGACTACTGTTGAAGTTGAAATCAGTAGAATGAAGGATCAAGGTCCAGATAAAGAGCATTCAGGGGCAATAGAAGCCTCAGTGAAGTTAATAGAACTGTTAGATTTATACCGGGAAGATAGAGGTGCAAAATGGGTAACAGCTCTAGAAGAAATTCCAAGTTTAATAATAAAAGGGTTAAGCTATTTGCAATTGAAAAACACAAAGCAAGACTGCCTTGGCCAGTTGGTAGACTGGACATTGCAAGCTTTAAATCTACAAGTAGCCTTTCGCCAACCCATCGCCTTAAATGTCCGACAGCTGAAAGCTGGGACCAAATTAGTGTCCTCATTAGCAGAATGTGGGACTCAAGGAATCACAGGATTGCTCCAGGCAGGAGTGATCAATGTATTATTTGAGCTCCTATTTGCTGATCATGTTTCATCTTCTCTTAAGTTAAATGCTTTTAAAGCTTTGGACAGTGTCATTAGTATGACAGAAGGAATGGAAGCTTTTTTAAGAGGTAGGCAGAATGAAAAAAGTGGCTATCAAAAACTTCTGGAACTCATACTTCTGGATCAGACTGTGAGAGTTGTCACTGCTGGTTCAGCTATTCTTCAAAAATGCCATTTTTATGAAATCTTATCAGAGATTAAAAGACTTGGTGACCATTTAGCAGAAAAGATGTCATCGGTTCCTAACCACAGTGAACCTGATAATGACGCAGATGCTGGACTTGAGAGAACAAACCCAGATTATGAAAATGAGGTAGACTCTTCTATGGACATAGATCTTTTGGAATCCTCAAATATAAGCGAAGGGGAAATAGAAAAGCTTATTAACCTCCTAGAAGAAGTTTTTCATTTAATGGAAACTGCACCTCATACAATGATCCAGCCTCCAGTTAAGTCTTTTCCAACGATAGCACGAATTACTGGACCTCCAGAAAGAGATGATCCATACCCTGTTCTCTTTAGGTAAGACGTATGTGTCTTTTGGGAAATAGGTTTCACAGATCACTGGAGGTAATGATTTTGTTTTTATCTGTTGGTATATAATGTATAATTGTGTAAGGATACTTGATATTTTAAAGTTGATAGTATTGAAACTGAGCAGTATGTTACTGGGAATGAGCTTATTCATGTGAGCACTTAACAGCAGAATTGGGAACATAAGAAAAAGATAATAAATAAGAACAATGCTTGTATAGCATGTCTGTAAGCAAAAATAAATGAGAAACTGCTTAGTTGCTTCTGGAAAGGTGGTAGAAAGGGATGGCATAGGGAGAAGTGAGCTTTTCTGTTGATATCCTTTGTATTTTACTATTCCATTACAGTGTAAGTTGATACAGTAGGTTTTTAAATTGTTTTAATTTTTATGTTTTTTTTTAGAGGATAAAAATGTTTATTCTCCTGTTTTATGTTTAGCAAGGATGTTGAAAAAATGATGGATGTCAGAGTACATATTACATTCAGGAGAATTTTGTTTTAATTTTTGCTTTGTCTTTTGCCATTTCCCCATAATTAATTTTCTAACTAATATAAAAATGGAAAAAGCACTTTTATGATTTTATCACTTATTTCTGTGATTAGTTTTTGTCTTGATTTGGATCCATGTATTTTATCAGGGAATGGGGTAATTTTTGTCTACCTTGAAATCTGTACCTGTATCTGTCTGAGTTTAGCTACAGCTGTTAGGCCTCGTAATCCTGAAGTATAACTTGAGTCAGAGTCTTGGGTTTAGGTTCTTAGTGTGAGGTTGTTCTAGGACACAGAAATGCATGAGGAGAGTAAGATAAGAGACAAAAAAAGCCAGTGAAGGAGGTGTTAGTAAACTTATTGTTGCTTTGCATTATGGGGGCTCTGAGGGCCCTCTGAAGAGCTGGCTGAAATGTGTCTCCTACTTATCCCACTGACTGACTAGGCAGGGGCATTTGTCTGCCAACACTTTCCTCCTCAGGCTAAACAAACTTTAACTCCTCCATGCTTCTGAGATGCTCCTCCTTGTGGTGTGAAAACTTCTAGAGAAAGTTCTAAGAAAGAAGAGTAGAAGGCCCAAGGTGAATACTTCAGGCTGAATTCTGGCACCCACAAAGACTGAATAGTCAATGTCAGTGACACAGGGAAGTCAACGATGGAACCTTGGAGAGCACTAATATGTAAATGGTGGACAGAATAGGAGCTGAAGCAGTATTAGAAGGATTAGAGGATAAACTAGAACTAGGAGAGAATAATGGTATAAAATTGAGAAAGAATAATTTCAGGAAGAAGTGAATGGCTTGTGTCAAATACAGTTGAGAGGTTTAGAAAATAAGGACAGGATTTTGTGTAGTGACTTTTGTAGTATAGATTGCAATTTGGAACTTTGGCAGAGTGGATGAAGATCACTGGAAAATGAGAATGTGAAAACAGTAGGTTACTGTTTTAAGATATTTGGCTAGGGGAGGAAGTTAGAAATGGGATGCTGGGGTTAAAAAGATTATTTTTCAGGAATGGGAGAGCACATTTGTGGGCTGGGAAGAATGACTCATTTAAAACATCAGTGGAAGTCAGGCACGGTGTTTCAAATCTATAATCCCAACTATTTGTGAGGTGGAGATTGACCAGCCTGGGCAAAAAGTTAGTGAGGCCCCCATCTCAGTAAACAAGTTGTTGTAATAGTGTATGCCTGGGAAAGGTAGATAGGAGCATTTTGGTCGGAGGACTGTTGGGGCAAAAAGTGTGAGACCCTATCTGAAAAATAACTAAAATAAAAATCTGGGCATGACTTAAGTAGTAGACGAAACACAAGGCCCTGCATTCAAACCCCAGAACTGCCCTCCCCCACCAAAAAAAAAAAAAC